GGTCAGGAACTTTCGGATATTCATAAGGCTTTGGTATATACTCACGCAGCAAAGAGTCAGGATAGCGGTATGCCATTGCTAACTCAGGGCCAAGGAAAGGCGTAGCATCGAAAGCACCTTCACCAACAACCTTAAGGCGGCTTGCATCCAAACTCTTGTAGGGCTCTAACTCGGCAAAAAGCGAACTGTCCATGGGCACATCATGACCCCGATAGATCTTCTCATATGGTCCAGCACCTACCCCAAGTTTTGTAATGCACTGAGAAAGCTCACCTAACCTAGCTAAAAGCTGTGGAAAACGTCGGCCACTACCAAGCACCTGAAAAGGGTCAGTAGGGCCGTCAGCCAGCAAAAGACCTGACAGCCGTCGCACAATTGCACGCTGGCTTTGCGATGGGGTCCTCTCCAGAAGCTTCAGTGGTATGAAGCTGCTTCCAGCGCACCAAAAGTTCAACGCCATGATAACAACATGCAAAGCCCTACGGAAATGCACCTGGCGCCTCTTTGTGGATGAAAGACCTGGAGGCATCTTTGCAAAAATCCCTTCAAAAGGAATCGGCAAAGGGAACGCTGGCGATGCCGAGACTTGGGTGTCTCGTTGCAAGTGCAAAGTGGAATTAAGGAAACGTGCAAACGGGGTCCTAGTTCTAAGGACTGAAACTTCCAAAAATGAACACCATTTATGGAAGGAGATGGTGTCCACAGCAAACTCAGGACGACTTTTATCATCCGAAGGCCCCTGGACAGGCTCTGCATTTTTAGGGTTTTTATGTTGTTTAGACCTATGAAAGTCCATCCCATCCACAACTTTACGGGGGCTACCTAATTCAATTAAAGATTGGGGGGAAGGTTCAACAACATTGTGCTTATCCTTACCCCTCATTGAAAGAGGCCAAGCTAAGCCTCCGCAGACGCTTTTGCTTTGGGCTTCCTCGGAAACCGAGGTTTCCGTTTGGGTGACGCTTCTCTGTCTGGTTCGGCACTCCCTCCTGGGTCTACACTTGAGCTGCTGGGCATTGCCTTTGCAGGTTTCTTGCCGTCTCGTTGCGTTTCGATGCAAGCACTTCCATATCCTTCAGGTATGCTAGGCAAACGGCTGTCCAGTTCGGAGGAACCAGAGGCCCAAAAACCTTGCTGTGCTGACCCAGGGTGGTCGAGCGCTCCTGGAACATCTGCAGTGGAGGATCTTCTAAAAGGGTAAGAAGATAAGCTAGGCTCCAATCTCCTTTGTCGACTGCCGCCTGCTCCACCGAGACCATCATCAAGGCCATGATTTCCTTGGTTCTGCGAAGATCCCCCATTGCTGCTGCGTCTATAGCATACCCTAAGATCCAAGCGATCAAACCTAGATCTCTGTGCTGTCGGTACCCTCCTTGCCTCTCCAGATAAGTCAAAACTGACAAATGGCATAGCTCCTCCTCTGTTTGCGGTACTGGCTTTGCAGGGTGCAAGCGTCGGTGAAGCTGCTGCATCATTTGGACAAAGTACATGCTCTGGCCTGTTGCTAGATCGTTCTGCATCCTTTCTCTTTTTTGAACACCTTTTGTTGAACTCGTACTGTGACCTAAGGATGCCAAGTCTCCTAAAGCATCTGGGGCTTGGGACGCCAGATGTGCAACAAGGGCTGTGATTGCAGTGCTTTGCTGTGCCAGCGCTGATACTATTGCCATTGGTTCCTCGGGACGAGCTTGGAGAGGGTCCAGAGGGTCGTCCATTTGCGTCAGATCTGGAGGCCCGGCCTGCGGGACATTTCTCATGGTCTTTGGCGGGGGTCCTGTAAGGGACAATGCTTTTGCAGCAATCTGGGATACTCCACTCGGATTTGGGAGGCCCGCTGAAACCGCGGGAAGCTTTTGCGGTTGGGCATTTGGCAAAATGCCAGGATCCCGACCTCCAACATTTTCTGCAGAAGAGCTCTTTGATTTCTCCAAACGATCTTGGCGTTGTGTCAGCACCTGCATTTGGGCTGCCAAGGTGCTGAGCTGTTCTGCAATCATAGAATTGGTGACACGCACTTTTGGCGTCGCCTTTTTTGGCGAAGCATGAGGAACAGGTTTTGCAGCTGGCTCTTCCCGGTCTTCTTGAGCGGTATAAAAACCCGACCTCTCATCACTTCTGGCACTGATCCATTCCTTGACTTTGTCAAAAAGGACGTTGCAATCAGGAAGCGCATTCGGATGAACATCAGAAAACCCGCCAATGGTGAGGAGGGAATCAGTCACAGGGTCATACTCGTGGCAGAGAGACAGCACTTCGAACAACCACAACATCGCCTACGATTCCAAGCTCAATCACCGAAAGGTCGTCGGCCTCCTCAAACATGGGAACTTGAAACACTGAATTAGGGCCAATCATTGCAAGCTCGTTTTCATCTTCTTGGCCGGATTGCAAGGACTGTGGACTGAGAACATTGTCCGGAACGGCAAGGAGAATCTGAATTGGCAGTGCATAAACTTCCATCTCTTCTCCGGCCAATGCAATTGTGGCTGGCACAGAGAAGATCAAAAGGTTTGGCTCTCCTAAAGAGGCTGGCTTGATTCTGTCACGGGTCAGCATTGCTTAAAAATTGGGGGCAAAGCAATTCGTGCAGCGTAGCAGAAGACGCTGATCTCGGTTTCCGTGGCAAATCCCTGAGCTACCAAATCACCTGTTCTGACTCGATCCTTGAAGCAGTCAAAATCGTTCTCGGATGCAAACTGAACGTGGCCACCAAGACCCTGAGCTCGGAGCACGATGAAATGACAAGCTGGCTCGGACAGGCGGATGGAAAAAGTCTGGGGGGTACAAGTTTCCAATGCAATGCGGGCCCAAAAACCAGCAGCAAAGGCAATGTGAACACGCTGCACACCAATCTCGAGCGTTCGGCCACAAAAACTTGCCTGATCCTCCAAAAACTCTGGGACAGGTCCAGGGCCGTCTTCTAGGCCCCTATACGGCACTTCACCGTAAACCTCCTTGAAACCTTTTCCTTCTTCTTTTACCAACTCAAACCCCACAGAAATTGGTGCAATGGCTGGAAACGTTGCAACACTGGACTGGCTAGGCAAAGCGACCTTGGCACGGTCTGCAGGTCCCCCCTTCCGATACCCACGAGGCTGAGAAGTGGAGGCAGAGGCTTGTTCTCGCTCTTTGGACTCCTTTTCGGACAGCCACTTTTCAAGACCCTCTAGCTTTTCTATGATTGTCCTTACCTCAGCAGCGGACAAAGGGCAATCACTCATTCACGTAATGTGACAGACGTGACCTGACTGCAATCCTGGCTGATTCACGGCAAGGAAAAGAAGAGGCCCGGGCAAAGTCCAAACGGAAAGTCCACCACAAGGCCAAAAATCCAAAAAACGCCACAGAAGAGGCAAATCCAAGGCACCAGCCGGCCAGCAGCCAGGGCAAACAGGACGGGGCACAATGGATAGGACAAGCAGACCACCTGGAGATTTCACTGGCCAGATTAAACCAACCCCACAAGTTATCAACCACAGGTAACATTCAGCTTGAGCAGGAAGTCAAGGGCCATCACAGTCATGCTTGGAGATCATATATATATATATATATGTACATGTAGATGTTTTATTTGATTTCATCCATATGATGTCAACGTATAAACATTCGATCATATTGCAAGGATCATTCATGCTGACTATATACACATATATAGTATAAACATAACATTATATAAATATATATATAGATAGATAGAGAATATAGAATTAGTTTCTATAGATAGATATAGCAGTGAATATTATACACACCTCCCCCTGATGGCCGGCCACCTCCTTCGTCCAAGGTGCACAGGGCTGTCGCTCCCCAGGCACTGGAGCCATGTTTCGGCTCGGTCCGGCTCAGCAGCCTGGACACACCAGAACGACGCGTTGCTCGTCATCGTTATCCCAAAAAGAAAAACAAAAAAGTGAATCTCTAGAAAATGTGATATCATAAAGTGGAAATGTTCGATCGTTTTGGGGGTGGCACTATAGACTGATAGATATATATATATATGTGTGTGTGTAATAATACATATATATATATTCTATACGTTTACCAAAAAGTTTCCGAAATGCACATAACTAACTCAAGGATACCTGGGATTCTTGGGTAATGTTCAAATCAGGCACCTTGGCAGCGGCCTCCACCAACTTCCCTGGCAAGACTTTCTGGCGCCACTTTGGATCCCAGATGATCTGTTGCCGTGCCATGGCAATTTGGTTCCCTTATGAAGTTCCATGTTGATAAAATGTTGAGAAAATGTTGATAAAATGTTGATAAAATGTTGATAAAATGTTGATAAAATGTTGATAAAATGAGTGTTCCATGTTGAATAAAATGTCAACTTATGTCAACTTCTCATTTTCATCCACCAGAAATAAGTCCCATTCTCGGGCGAAATTGAAGTTGTCAAATGTTCAGCCCGCGTCCCAGATCTGCAACCAAGTCTCCATAGGTCTTCTCATTGGTGCGCACACCTGGCGCCGAGTAGGATCAGGATAATTCTGGCTAAAAGCTATAAACCTACAACTGATAACATCCTATAACTGGGGGACCCCCTTCTTCTAGATGTCTCCAAAACAACCAAAAAAACAAAGTAGTACAAGGAATCGCGGTATTTGACCAAAACAAATTGGGATTCTTTCGCAGATGTTCATGGTATCATTCCAGTTACATGAGTTGCGCGGTGCTGTCACGCTGGGCCAGCAGAACCGATGGAAAGGTGAAACAGCTCATCGGGTGCTTGGAGTTCTTCCTTGAAAATAATGGTGATTAATAGTGATTCATTGGGCTTCAATAGTGACTAATGGTGATTCATGTGGTAAACCCAATGCCATAAACAAGGCTGCGGCCGCGTTAACGACCCTGGATAATTTGCTCACTTCGAGTCTCAAGGATTCAGTGCTGCGTTTTGCAATGTACTTGAAAGGTCGTGGTGGAACCTGTGTTCAGAACGTCCAACATTTACCATGGGTTTGAACCTCATTTTCGCAAATCCCATTGGCTCTGCGACTCGAACACACCAGCTTTCCCAAAAATGAGCATTTTTTGGTCCTCTACTCTAGCGAGATGCCTTCTTCGCAAGAGAGCCAACTGCTTTCAGCAAGTGCGGCCTTGCGTTCCATCGGAACATGAAAGCCAAAACATACGTTGTCAGCCGTGAATTGTCACGCTGGCTTTTCAAGTCTCGTGACCTGAGTTCCTTAGGAACAAACTTCTTCAACTGGTTCCATGCCTGGTCTAAGCATTGCGTTCCCGTCAGTTTGGGAAGCTTTCGAATTTTCACTAATTTTGAAAACTGCATCTTGTAGCGCACAACGTTTTTGAAGCACTTGTCGCATGTACGTTAACATCCCACCCCACACCACACCACACCACCCCAACCCCCATGATCAGCGTAACATCATCAGCGTAACATGAACGTTAACATCCCACCCCACCCCACCCCAACCCCATGATCAGCGTAAAAAATAACACTTTCCTCTGGGGTCGCTAATGCGGCCGTGAGCATAAACAACTACCATTTGGGGATGGTTTCTGGCATTGTGTGTACCACAGACAGGATGAGTCACGCGAAACGGGAATGAAAGTTGGGAGATTGTGGGGATCAATACCTCTGGGATGATCTAATGGTCCATGATGGTGATATTTCCCAATGTATCCCCAAAATTGAGCAATCTATCTCTTCCTCAAAATCTCAAATACTCCCCTCAAACGAAGCCCTGGTTTGGAATGTTTCCGTTTTGGGGTCCTGTCCTATGGGTGTTTCATTGGCTATGGCCCCATTCCAGGACGGTTAGAACCATGGTGAAGCCTCATTGTTGATGGTTAACTCCCTTATTAGTAAGTCTAAATCACTCCAAGTCAGTCCTTTTTGTCGCAACTCCCAATTTTGGAGATGAGACATCCCACTACACTCCCATGAAAAATGCTTGGTGCACCCATTTTTCACACATTTGGCTGCCCAAATCCCAGCTCCACCTTTTTGCTCCATCTCTCGAAAGCATCGCTCTGCTCCCACAAGGTCTCCAGCATTGGCATGGGCCTCCATGAGAACCATACGAAAAAATAGGATCCTACTAAAGTAAATGGTTTCTTTTCTATTGGTTTCTTCATAACAACGATATGAGGTAACCACCAAATTCGAAATCGGAAGACCGCAAGAAAAACGGAATTTCACCAGCATGCCTCGGATACAGAAATGGACAGCCAGAACGAAAAGGGATGGAATCAACAGTAAGTAATAACAGACTATATATATATAATATAATGTACATAGTATATGATCACAATACAAGGTGGCTAAAATGGTTAAAATAAGGAAAATATACTACAATCGAAAAAAAATGAAATGGCATTGGTTCCTCGAAAATCCGTCAGCAACAACACTTTGCGAACCATTGCAATATTGACCATCAACGTTCGGCTCTGGAATATGAAAATGGGGCACCATCCATCTCCATCTGGATCAAAACTGGGTACCTTCTGGGAATCGAACGTGGCAATGGAAAGTCATCCATTTAAGGCGGGGATTTCCCCTCAATGCCCATGAAGTTCGGAGACTTTCAATTACCGTGTTTGATTTACCAAACAATACACCCAAATTTTGTCAAGCGACCAACATCTACCAACGACCAATGACCTGATTGTGACCGGTTCGTCAGTTCCGCCTTCAGGAGGGTATTCCAAACCACCGTTTTGGAAGAGGTTTTAGGATCCGCCAGCAGCTGCTGAAAATGACGCCGTGCCTGGCCAAAAAAAAACGAATTCCTTTGTTGTTTTTTTTTCAATTAGGATAGAAACAACTAGGTATTGGATGTTTTCATAACGAATGTAGGATACCGATTTTGTCTCTGTGAATGGCAAGTCTTTAGTTTTCATGTTCGTCCCACAAAGGAAACCCCAGTGCATCTGGAAGACTCAAGTTTTGGCCTGCGAAAGTTGGCTCAAATGCCGCCACAACAAATGTTCCGACTGCGGGAACAGGACCAAACAAATGTCGCGAAAACGTGAAATATGTCGTTTCATGTCGCTTTAATTTTTGTTATTTTTTTACTCAAAGACAATCAAACAACCGTGATTTTCGGCATCAGAAAACAAAAAAAATTGTTGCTCTCAAAGATGTTGTTTCCATTTGAAACGAGAAAAACTGAATAAACATGTGGAATGTGCACCAATCATCACAAAATTTGGCTGGTTACCAGTAGAACTTCAGCATCTTGCGGGATTCATCCCAGGCCACATGGAATCACCGCTTTCGGTGCCTCGGTCAGATTCGCTGATTCGGCCGCCTGCCAATTTCGGCCACGGATTGACCCACTTTCCATGGAATTTTCCCACACATTTTCCCTCCAACTCAACGAAATCATGCAAAATTCATACAAAAATTACAAGTTATGCCAGTTATGCCACATGTATGGTCACATTTTTTTGGAAAAAAAAAACATACCATGCCAAGGGTTTGCTGCGAACAGTTAACCGTTCAATCAGCCTTGTTCAGCTCCGCTAAAGTCATGGTGAGATGTTGAGTTGGAATGAGGTTGTCCTGCATTTTCCGGGTTCCACGGAATGTATAACAAGGCCAAACCACAAAAAAAACAACTAGAATTTGAACAACCAAATATGTGGTTTTGGTTTCCAGTATATGTATTCATCCAGCCTAAAACCTTGAATCTAATTGCATTTTTTCCAACCCGTAGGCAACACCATGAAATGTCAAAGTCCGATGTAATTTTTTTTCGGCGGATGTACTTCACGCACGTGAATCAAATCATTTGCCGTGGCCCCACGGTCCTGATTTTGAAATTACATGGGTTGTTGCAATCGACATGATGGCTGACGCGTTGGAATATCAAACATCCAAAATCATTAAAATGCAACGAGATGTTTCACGGTGTTGCGCCGGTGTGGATATATGAATAATGACGATTTTATTGTTTATATGTGTTTAAAAGTATCATGTCCGTTTTGTTGGTGTGATGCTGCTTTGTCCTCTTTGAAGAAAACATCGAAATCACAAACATATGCTGCGGCAGGCAAAATGCGTAGTGTGTTTGTCCCTTTTCCTTGCACTTTGTTGTCCAAAATTTCAGTGCGTTCTTGCTTCATCAAACAAACATCATCCGACCAGGGACCATCCGCCAATCAAATCGCAAAAACTGCAACAACCAAAACAACAATCAACCCGCCCAACATCGCAACTGTCAAAATCATACCAACCCAACAATTCAATAAGTGTCTATTTTCCCTTGAAAAGAAGCGCCGAAGAAAGATCTTGAAATGAACTCACTAAGACTTCATGTACATGGGTGTTCCATGGCCACTGACATGTATGGTTTGCAAGGCCGTAAAATGGAAGCACCCCGCCTTGCCAAATGCATTTGAGATCATTTGTTAGTTTTTTTTTAAAGTCTCGTAAAAATATTTTTGTTATCTAGCGTACGTGTAGTGACGAGTGACATGAACGGGGGTATGAACGTGTGTGTGAACGACATGCGTGCGAGTGAACGTACGTCCGAACGTATGTATGTACGAGTGAGCGTACGTGCGAGCGAACGTGTGAGCGTACGTCCGTGCGTTTGCACGGTCACTCGCCACGCGCACGCGCACGTACGAAAATAAGGTCGACTTGAGTCGACCTTATTTTTGCACGACCCTGCCTCTTTAGTATTGATTTAGTATTGTAGCGCTTTGCACGTACAGAAATAAGGTCGACTCCAGTCGACCTTATTTTCGTACGTGCGCGCGCACGCGGCCAGTGAACGTGCAAACGCACGCACGTACGCGCACACGTCCGTCCACTTGCACGCACACGTCCGTTCACTCGTTCGCTCACACGTGCACTCGTCCGTTCACTCGTTCGCCTTACGTTCGTCACCACGTCCGTTAGCCACTCGTACCCCCTACGTTCACCGCGTCTCTTGGAGCTTTAAAAGCATTGTTTACGAGGCTTTAAAAAAAACTAAATCATTTGGCACATCTATTACAAATCACGCACAAGGAACCTTAGAATGGTGGCACACTGACATCGCGCCTTGACAACATTTTGTTGTGCCGATGCTCGCACTTGCTTCTTAGAAGCGGCCAGATGGCTTCACCAAAATCCTTGAAGATATGCTTCGCTGTCTGTGCTTGCAGAGTGGTGCAGGGCAACTGCGTCAGAACTTGGTGGGAGCTCAGACAACAGTTGGGTGATCAATTTGGGTCGGGT